AAAGGTTAACTTGCGCATTTTTTTTATATCGCAAGACTCATCTTTAGTAAGTGATAGGCAGAAGCCAGTTGAATGTCTTCCACTTGCATATGTGTTATGTTTGAAGACATTTTAGCAGTTCTATCTTCTGTTGTTTAACAGATAATGACAAATCTTTGTTTTTTTTTTTTTTTTTTTTTTTTTTTTTTTTTTTTTTTTTATGATTTCTATTTTGTTTTTAAAATCACAAAACAGTTCTTCAGATACACGTATAAAACAATCTCTGCCGTACTCACCATCTGTGAATGGTTTTCGTCTTTATGCAGTCCTAATGATACAACAAATCTTGCCAGATTTACTTTATTTAAAGATTGCATCCAGTTACTTAGCATGGAACTTGACTTTTTTCTTTTCTGAGCTCTTTAACAGTTTTTTTCATGCATCGCCGGTTGGATATTTACCAGCAGACTAGGCATGTTTTGCAATGAAGTTTCTCTTCAAATTTGACTACTTGTTGTGTGCAAATTTTCCGTGGCAAATGGGACAAGTTGGAGGGCCATCTGCATTGTATATAAATGCAAACGACTTCATCCAATCCTGATTGAATTCTCGGGTTTTCTTCTTCAGTTCTTCTCTTTTTTTTTTTTTTTTTTTTTTTTAACCAGATGTCATGCTGGCGGCGGAGCTGGAAAAATGAATGATAGTTCAAATTTATCTCATTATGATCATGTTAAGCATAGAGATTTGTAATTAACGATTATGAAAATAGAAGCTATTGAGAAATTAGGTACTTAAAAATATATTTTCTTTTTTTTAAGGGCTTTGATAATAAATTATTAATTTTTTCATATGGAACTGGAGAGCCGCAACTTTACATCAAAAGAGCTGCAGGTTTCCGACCCCTGCCTTATACCAATTGTAAAAAGAAAATATTTAATATTTTGATTTAAAATATAATTAGTACATAATATTATTCCACTGCTTTTTAGATCTAATTTACAGAAATGTTTCATAATAATTTTGTAAAGCGGCCATACTTATTTTATTTAAAAAGAACTATATTATGGCATTTTGTTTTTCAGAATTATATTTAATATGTAAAGCTTTTCTCTATTGTTTAAAAATTATTTTTATTTCAGTACATTAAAATTAACTTTTTTTGTGGGTTTTGTTTCTAAAATTCTAATAGGAAGAAATAAAAAACATTTGGAATCAAACTTCATCTGAATCAGTTCGAAAGCTTGATAAGAATATTGTATCAAAGTCAGCTAATGAACAGAGTCAGACATGCTTAAGAGAGCTTGAAGAAGACAATCAGAAATTATTAGAAATATGTGAGAAATATGAAGTTAGAAATTTTATTGAAAATTGTGATATTAGACTTTCTAACAAAGCCACTGATTTACAAACTTCTTTGGATAGTCCTGATCAGGCAAATAATGATGTTGCTAAACAAACAAATATTAAAAGCCAGAAAAAAACATTTCGACTTTTTAACATTGATTCTACACCATTATATGATGTAATTCCAGGAAGTTTTGCACAGAAAAAAATATGTCCAAATACAGGTCTGATTAAAAACAAAAATAACAGTAATATAAAAACAGATATCATACCTAATAAAGAGAATAACTTTGATGAAGATATTTCTGCATTGCGAATTAGTGAATACAAGAATGTGATCCAATTAAATAAAAGTCCAGTGAATAAACTTGCTGAGGAGAAGATGGATTGCTTGGGAACTGACTGTGACGTGGTTGAATTATCAAAAAAAGAATTGGTATGTTAACTTAGAAATTTTTTTTAGATTTACGATATTAAAATTCTTATATTTCAATTTGAAAATCTGTTTAGTAACCCACAACAGACATTTTATATTTGTTTAAAAATTAGATTTGTTTTTCAAACTTTATACATATATTATTATTTTTTAATTTATGTTAAAATATTAGTTTCATGTTAGGTTTCAATTAATCATTTGTTCAGAAAAGATTATTATACATTGGACCCTCGAGGTATGAACACCTCTATATACAAGAAATTCGAGGTACGAGGGAAGCATGAATGAAAAAGTTGTCTCTAATTGCGAGCATTGACCTGAGTAACAAGCCAGGCTGTTGGTATGCGTGGTGCATTTCCCAATCCGGCTGGACTCGGGGAATCCCCTTGTCAGATCACTCAGTAATCTTTGATCTACATGTTTGTGCCGTTGTGAGTTAATTATTTTTTACATTTAACATGAAAATAGTTATTTCACGATGCCTCCCAAAAAGATCGTTGCCTCAGATAGTGCTGCAAATAAAAAGAAGAAAGCCATGGCCATTGAAATTAAGAAGGTAATCATAAATAAGAAAATCACCCTAGTAAAGAAGTGTGTGGGCACGCCATGAACTTGTGTAATGACAGTGTAGTGTCGCATTTTAGAGCATCTTAAAAAGGAGGCAGAAGCAAGTGTTGTTAGATAAGATTTTGGTAAAGCAACTAAAAGAAAGTGATTCTGACCCAGAACCTGCTTCCATGGGATAAACTTCTCAAGAAGAGAGAGCCTTCCTGAATCAGAAAGAGACTCTTCTTCCCCACAGTAACCTGTTTCGTCTTCCCCATATCCCTCTTGCCAGTCAGGACTCTTTAAAGGTAAACTATAGTTATATTATTTACCAGGAAAATCGATTTTTATTATGATATTTTTGGAGGTGCGTACCGTATTTTTGGAGGTATCATTAACTGGATTTTCATTCTTTTCAGTGGGGAATTTGTTTCTAGATGCAAGAAATTCACTATATGAGCTCAATGCTGCAACAAATTAAAATCTTATTTTGAGGTTCCATTGTACTATTTTGTTGTGAAAAGTGCAGTACCAGGAAGGTATCATTAACAAACTCTAATTTAGAGGAAATAAAAAGCAATACATGATATGCAAATGATTAAAATTTCATAGTGTATGCATAAACTGAGCAGCTTCCTCTGAACTATTGCAGATGTTGTATAAATAGAGGATTATGACAAAATGTTAAATTAGTGTTTCATTATCTGCCAGCAGTAAGCATTTTAGGAAAAATTACCATGCTTTGTTGAGGACAAATTACATATTATAAGTAAGTTAGATCATTTGAACGAGAGAAAATAATAAGCCTTGCAGCTCATGCAAAGTATGTGTCATCAGGGGTGGGTATGGGTAAACGGTGGACTCAGAAGAACTGGAAAAACCACAAACCTGACAATGGACTGCAAAATGTTATTGTCTGCTCAGAATGATAGGACAGTGATGGACGATATAGTTTCTTATTTGTTGAAGGAACATGTAGTTCATTTACTATCGAAATGCAGACTACTGGTGATAAGCAAACAATAAAAGTAGAATGAAAGTGTCTTAACTTATGAATGCATAATCCCCACTGTGATAAGTAAGAAGCGCAATTAGAAAGTAGAAGCATATTTATTAGCTTATAAGGTATTTCTCCTGCCTTCTTAGCATGCCTTTGTGGTGTAGTGGTCAGCAGACTTGGCGCGTATTCGAGAGGTCTGTGGTTCAAGTTCCGGCGTCTACAGTGGCACCTGAACTAAAAAGGTGGTGGATGATGATTTTCCACCACCGGGATTTGGCGAATGGGTCCTCTAGTCCTTGGTTGCCCTTTAAAAGGGGGAGTATATAAGGTATTTCACCCGCCTTCTTAGCATGGGTTCGGGGTGTAGTGGTCAACATTCTCGGTGCATATTCGAGAGGTCTGTGGTTCGTGTCCCGACAAGGGCATTGCTCATTTTTCATCTCTCTTGCTTTAAAATATCTAACATCTCTACAAACTATAAGAAAGAAAAAAATATTTCGTGGTAGTGCAACAGTTTTCAGCTCTCCATAGTCTAATGTGTCAGGTGAGGAGAAAGTTCTCTTTAGATCAAATCTACTTTTATTTAAGGGGATGAAGGAAAATAACATCAAATGAACAGCTTAATCCCTTCTGTTTTCAATGGCAGTTTTACAGTCTGCCTTTCGATGAGCTGTGATATCCATAGTAAGACCAATTCTTTAAAAAAAAAATTGTCGTTCAGACAAATGTTTTGTGAGCAAGTCTGCATACATCATTTTGTTATTGCACTGTTGTAATTTAATATTCCTTGGTTTTGTAAATCATAGGCTTAAGTGATATTTTACATTGATGTGTTTAATGTAATTGCTTCTTTTTTCTTTTCTGGAAAAATGTATACAGAATATATTGTCCTTGAATATAATGTTAGCTTCTTGTTAAATAAAACCAATGTCTTCCATCAGTTGTCTCATTCATTGTAGCTCCTGCAGAGTTAAAGCTAGAGTGATATATTCAGATTCTGTCTAAAATAAGGCAGCAGTTTTGTTTCTTGCTTGTCCATGATACTGTATAGTTTCCTATTGGAAATATATATCCCAATATAAAATTTCTGTCAGATGTATCTCCTTTCCAGTCAGCATTGTTGTGAATTTTGGTGACTGGTTCATCATTTGATTTTAGATGTAATTTGTAATTGATTAAAGCTCTCAGGTTATTGTATGACTTAAATAATACCCACCAATGCAACATTGATGGATTTTCTACTGCTGTGCTAAGTATTACAACAAAATTTGCTATGTCTTGTCTTGATTACTGTTGCTAAATATAAAAATGCTTTCACTGCTTCCCTTTGCTTCTGGTTATAGGGAAAATTATTCTCTTGTTTGTTTTTATTTTTTGTAAAATTCATAGTCATGGGTGTATAATTTAGTTTCTTTTCTGATACTCAGTCGGATTTTTTTTATTAAACTTTTAATGTTGTTAGCTTGATGAAGTTTAAAACTTCCATCTTTTTCTCTTTCAATTTGATTCCTAGGTGTTTGAATACTTCTAGAAGATTGCAAATGTCAAAATATTCTTTTTCCTGAATTGATTCTCTCTTGTCACTCGCAACTAATATGTGATTAGTGTATATGATAGTTTAAGTTCTTGAATTTTCTTTGTTTAATGTGATGGAATATAGATGAGCTTTTTCTTTAACATATCCTTGTTTGCACAGGATTTCACCTATTTTCTGATTTCAGTTAAATATTATCTGTTTGGCCCAAGTGTACCTATGAGTTTGACATCCCTGAGGTAAACAAAAGGGGTGATTCTTAATTAGCTATTTAAATATTTTTTAATTCCAGCTTTAGGGCAAATATTTCCTCTATTATATTTTCAATTTTTGCTTTAGCCAAAATATCCTTTTCTATATTCGTCAATAGGCAATGATTCCAAATTAGCTTGGTTCACAGTACTCCTTAATCTTTTACAATTTTTAATTTTGAAAAAGCTCTTTTGCATTCAACATTATTGCAATTCATTCATTATAGATAGGGTGAGTACAAACTTATAAACAAAAAAGACATTGGCATATGCATTACTATATAAATTATATTTCAAGAGTAATTTAACTACACACAAGATGCAATTTTTGCAAAAATTGCATTTAGCTTTGGATGAATGTTCATTAGTAGATACAGCACTCTCTCCTGACTCGGTATCACATTCAAAGTAATGATATTTAATTGTATTTTTTTAGTATTCCGCATTTATTTACCATGTCCTGATAGTCATCCTTAAGATTATCAGTTGTTACACCTGCATAGTGCCCTAATAATATAGATAAATTGCTGAAAGTGTTTGGCGAAAATGACTTCGAAAAGTTTTGGGGATCGAGAAAGGATATGTCTTCATACAACTTCCTGTGTCCTTTAAACCTACTTTCCATCAATGAAATGGTGTTATTCTTTATAAAATTACAGTAACTTCAAACTGTTTGAGAGGGCAATTGAAATTATATTCGGATAATTCTTCATCGTCCGTTTGATTAACTTTCTGACAGTTGTTCTACAATGTAGTTTTTCTACAATTATATCACAACCCAACCTGTCTAGTTTATTACTGCAATACGCTGCAAATGTTTTTGATGCGTTAAGTATTAAATCAAAGTAACTAGAAGGCTCAGGTGTGAAGCACATGGAGAACAGGCACCTAGGCTAAAAGCCTCATCCTGTAACGCATGGCGAAATGACATAGCTTTCCTACCATAACATTAGAAGAGTTGGCTGAGGATTCTAAAGAAAAGAATTCTCAAAGATGTTGCAATGATGAGAGCCTTGCGTATACCTTCGGAGAAGAAGGTAAACTGCATAAGACGTAGAAGAGATTAAGTCCAGAAAATAGTTGTGTGAATTTTCTGCTTCCCTATTTGAGAGGGAATAGGGAATCCCTTTTCCTATATTTCATAGAGAGAGTGCTAAATCTTTCCTAATCTTCGGATTCCGTGCAATTGATGAGTAGCATGGCTGCTTGGAAACCTGTTTGTAATTTTTCTGCCGAGTTCTTTGCTGATCTGATTTTGCCAATATAGGAGATGATGGAAGTTAAGAACGACTTAATCTTTTCATCTTGAATCCTTTTCATTGCTTCGCTGAGTCTTTAGGGGGGTGGAGTAATTTTACCTTTTAGTTTCTCGCTATAGGTAGCTTGGCTGGGATTTTTCTGCGCTAAGATTTCGGCAGTCTTGGAGTTAGGGAAGTTTTCTTTGGAGAGTTCGGGAGCTTTAGGCTGGGGAGGGCTGCTTTTCTTTTCAAATCTTTTTTTTTTATACTCGCTGCAGCCTCTATAGCTGCTGACGTGGCAGAGTCCACAGAAAATACATTTAGGCTTGTCTTCTGGCTTCATGTTGCATTGGTTGCTTCGATGTTGTTTCCCGCACTTTACACATCTGACGGGATTACTGCAACAATATTGCGAATGACCGAATTGCTGG